AACACACCCAGTTTCGCAAACATCTCAATTGGTAATATGGCAGGCCTACTTTATGTATGCTTTCTTATACTTTCATTAAAATCTACTTAGATTATTAGCAGCCAAAAATCAAGTTTTATAGAGTTTTAGATTCAAATTATTTTTGGGAGAGCATTTTAACCTTATATCACCTTATCTTACTAATATTATAGATGTGAAAGTTTGTGTATTTGTTTGTTTGTTTGTGTTGCTCAATCACGCATTAACTAATGGACGGATTGGGCTGAAATTTGGAATTATGATAGCTCATATTCCCGATTAACATATATAGGCATAGTCTTATCTCAAAAATCCGTTCGGGCTTCGCCCCAGTGGCTCTGTAGTTCCCCATGTTAACCTTATGAGTATTCATATTTAAAGGGAATTAAATAATTTAGTCAGCTGTTTCAACTAAAAAATTGGTTATATGATATGCAAAAAGTATTAAAAAGTTATAAGATTTACCAACAGGGCGCAGCACTATTATTTTTTCATTTATGAAAACAGCTAATTTGAACTAAGCAGCAACAAAAAACTGTTATAGGCAATAAGAACTGCCAAAGTAGGATTGTTTACAGTTATGTTTATGTTTTTAATTGCATGAATAATTTTTGATATTTTTCAAGTTGTTAATGATTTATTTTTCTCTATTGTTTAGGTGAAGTGGTAGAACATTATGGCTATGGTAGATGTATAATACTAAAGTATACCGTAAATTTAAAGAAGCAAATTTTGTCAAACTGTGTCCTCCCCCATTGCAAACGCTAGGTTAAAGTATAACTGCAATAAGTATTTTACACTTATATGCCAACCCCGTACGAAGGACGGGTACTCTGCTAGTTAACAGTATGAAGCCTAAAACAATCACTGGAATAGTTGTTATTAAACACACATAATTAATACGAGTAACGATAGCTTCTAATAATTACTTCAGGGAAGCAGCGTAAACTGTATAGCATGGCATGATGTAATCTACCGTCATGTGGCGCTATCTACAAGTGTTCTAACTAGGGCTGAACATTGTGTATAATCGTTTCAGATTTCCTCCTTAAGCTGGGTTTTCCTAGGCGTGGAGTCGGCGAGCGGTGAGAGGAACGCGGAGAGCGGAATTGAAATTAACATGGCATTCCGCTCCGTTTCTAGGAAAACAGTAACATTAAATTGCCTAAAGCTGGGTTTTCCTAGGCGCGGAATCGGCGAGCGGAGAGAGGAACGCGGAGAGCGGAGTTGAAATTAACATGGCATTCCGCTCCGCTTCTAGGAAAACAGTAACATTAAATTGCCTAAGACATGTGGAGTCCGCTCTCCGCGTTCCTCTCTCCGCTCGCCGACTACGCGCCTAGGAAAACCCGGCTTTATACTCCTTCTTTTGAGTAACATTAAGGTTTCAAATACAAAACCGCATCAAAGAACAAAATTGCCTGGAAATAACACAGTTAACTTGTGGCAATATAAGGTACTACATTTCACTATGGCTGCACTTATTAAATAAAAAATATCGATATATAGATTATTCGCAACATCAATTATTTCATTCGGTTAGTTAGATTAGGTTTTAACCTAACTAACCAAACCTGATATATCGAATGGAACAATCGATATATCGATCGATATATTCATTCGAATGAGTGTAGGACGTAAAAAAGTCCAGCCCCTTTCATTATTGATGTGACATCTAATTCCCATCTTGAAGCAGCCAGTTTAAAAAAAAAAGTGAAGCCAGTGACAAAGTATGACGATGCAAATTATTTTTTGTTTATTCATACTACGCTTAAATTACAATTTCATTGTGCGTCGTAGCCTCTGAATTTCTAGATTGTTACAATAATAGGTTATTTTACGGTAAAATAACCAGGTTAAATTTTTACCTGATACCACCAAGTAATCCTATACATTTTTAATGTTTGCCTGTTACGTGTTTCGTACGACGAATCTTCACACCGTCCAGGTTGAAGAGGATTACTGACATTTAATATCCACATAGACTTGACAATGAAGGCATAAAGTCTTCGAAACCACGGGAGTCCAACTACAAGAACAGAATCACTGGGCGATACAACAGGTAACATAACCTAGTTTTGTAATTTAATTACATCTTCTTGTCAATCATTAAATCGTTAAGGGATGAAGAGTTGGAACAACCTTTGAAAGTATAGGAAGAACCGCAAGTTAGTTGACCAATTTACATATTTTGGTGCTATCGAACGATGGTAGAATGGCACAAGAGGTAACGGCTAGACTGGGGAAAGGTGCGGGATTTTATCAGTGTTAACCATCTAGTCGGGGATAAAGATATACGAAAACTTCAAAAGGTAGTATGTATAAAACTTATTATACACCGATAGTTACCTATGGTGCACACATTTTGAATATAACAGAGGGTATGGGGTAGAGTTCAGGTGGAGGAAATGAAATTTGTAAGAGGCATTAAAGGGAAAACAAGAGTGGATAGAATTATGAATGAAGAGTTAAAAGAGGAATAGTTGAAGAAAGTATGAGAGAACGAGTAGAGAAGTCGAGATTGAAATAGAATGGAAAATGATAGAATCCCCCCCCCCAATGAAGTATGAGCTTCACATGAACGGAAGAAGACCAAGAGGAAGACCTAGAACAAGGTGGATTGACGAGGTGAGAAGAGATGTGGAAGCAAGAGGAGTGCAGTGGCAGTGGCAGTATGTTGAGGAAGAGGATTTATTGAGGGACAAAAGAAGATGTAGATGCGTAATTAACACCCAGACTCAGAGATGACCGGACCGGGGAAGGATACGTATGTATGCACATAAACTAACTTAATATCAAAGACTAAGGAGTAAAATAGAATGATGATGGAAGCGCAACCTGTGAGTGACTCAATCCACTATGTTCAATTTAAATAAAAATGTTGCTACATTTGGTCCATATTCAGATGGGACGCTTACTTTAGTATCCCAAATGGGATGGTTCTAACCGTATAGAAAATCGATGGATCAATTTCCGAATTTATGTTGGCTCTATCAAAGTGATTTCATCAGTTTATTATTATAAACTGATGAAATCACTTTATCACTCATATTTGATGGAAATATTCTAAAGTGGCAAACAAAGACAGAGTAGTGAGAATATACCGACTAAATACTAATAAATAAGAACAAGAGCGATTCTTTTCAATCCTATGCTAACGAATTGCTATATCTCTGCTTCGAAACGGGAAGAGGACACAAGAGAGAATAATGCTGTTGTTTCTATGTGTAAATAGTTCTATATATAGTTACTCATTACTTAAAAACAAAAATCAACTTTCTCACTTAGTGTAGAAAAACTATTTTTCTTAAATTTTATGGGGGGGGGGGCACCCAAGAACAGTGTGTGCTGCAGTGTGTGCTGTGTGTGTGCAGTGTGTGTCGCTGCTGATGTGTGTTAAAAATACTGTACCTCTATGAAATTCAAAAGATAAACTTATTGAAAAGTTTAGTCCCCTACTTTCAAAACCATACTCATATCTGAAGCCAACGCTCAAAATTAATCTAACATACCGTAGTGTAGTGATAAAATCAATTACTTAGTATTGATGTTTCATAAAAAGAAATATGTTTTACCCTAATTCTTACTTTTTTCAAGCCTCTTTTCCTGGAACTTAATATAGCAATCACAAATAAAACTATGAGCAATATTCTACTAAACTCTTCTCCATTTTTACCCCACGCTGTAAATAAAACATGTGATTGAAATTTCTTACATTTGATTAGATTTTCTCTTTACATTTTGTTGTTATTTCATCACCATCAGGACAACCCATAAGACCCATGTTAATTTTTTTAAATTTAAAACTCAATTTTTTGCGCTTATTTTTGAGCCTATTTTAATTTATAAAGGGATTCTACATATTTTCCCTACGATACACACGAGCCGAGAAAAAAGGTTTTAAAGAAACATGCTTGCCTATTAATATATAGATAATGTAAGCTTTTTAAGCATGTAAGGCGAAGCACTTAGAAAACCTGCGTATAAAGCACAGCCCTAAGAAATTCGTTCATACCAAAACTTTTCGTCAGATCTACACACTCTAAGCTTCATTTTGATGTCCCAAATGCCTATATTATTATTTGTTTAATGACCTTAAACGATGACCACAAGTTTTCCTGTATCATTTTAATAATATGATATATTGTTTTTAACGTTTTTCTTTTCGGACAGTTTGGTCATTTCCTTTTAGGAATCCATCGTGGACTTCTTAAATAAGCTTATGGCCAACGTCTAACGATAATAAAACCTCAATGAGCTAAACACCTGAATAGTCAATTAGAGTTTTTAAAAATATACACTGGAAGATTTAAAAGCAAAAAGGTAGTAACTACAAAATCTTCAAACAATGTTTATAACCTTTGAAATGTAGGTTTCATCAATGCCTTTAAAATGTACCTCTTTTACTACCTGAGTACCTACACGGCCACCTTAAAAGGCGGCCGTAGTACCTATCGTTGGCATGGTGGAAGGAAAAAACAGTTGGAGTGTTGAACAACATCATCCAGTTTTCTTATTATCTGTTTTTATAACACGGGTGGCACGGGGGCGTGTAGTTGTGAGCTATCAGCTGATTTAATAGTTTTGTTTATGTTTACGTTTTGGATATTTTGGTTATCAAGGCGAATAATAATTGGTAGAGTTGAATTGTTGAATGTTCGATTTTTGTTATTGAGATTTTTCATGTAAGAGTTTTATTTTCTTACAAAACAATATCTGGTACCCTAGTTATAAAACTAAACAGTAACCCTAAACTGATAGAAAAAAGTTTTGGCGACACTAGCGATCACCGGACATCAACTAGACTAAACGAGCTTCAAAATTTACAATGGTATGATAAGTCTACTTTTGTTAGTCTATGACTTTTTAACTGTACACTTTAAAATCAGCTACCGAACCTCCCATGCTATGATTCTACACAATGTTCAGCGTTACAAGTGCAGCAATACGCTAGCAGAGCTATCTACGCCACTACAGTATACCTTGGGCGCGCTGTTCGAATCCTCACTGGATGTGAACGTGCTGGATGTGTCAATGCCCGAGTCCTTGGTTTGAGGACCGTCGAACCTGACTGTCTTCTTGCGTCTTCGGGTGTCGATAAGGGTGACTTTGACCTCCCGAGGGGTGTCCCTTGGGTGCCACCCGTTGACGACTCCATCCATACCGAGGGAGAAGTCATTCGTTGTAAGAGAACGGGTAAAGGATGGGACAAAGAGACAAAAGGAAACACAACAACCAAACACATATAAAGAACACCGAAGGAAAGGCAAGTCAAAGTTCAAGTTGCAACGATCAATTGGGCATTTCTTTGTTTTTGTTGGTTCGAATTTCATTTAAAATGTTATTAGTTTACCGTATTGTATAAAGGTGGTGTTTATATTTTATCTTGTACTGTACCGGATCACCCCTTGCTTTGCTGGATACTGTTCGCAAACAGAAGCGGGCCTATTTGAACGGGTAAATGTATAAATAAAAGAAACCAACAACCTCTTTAGAAAATAAGATAAAAGAAAATTATGTTTTTTTGAACTTTCTGTCTATGATATCGATTGCAGGGTTGCAATAAAATTTTGTCTCCATCGGTCTTACGTTTACTATTGTTGGAAACTTCTATTTTATAAACGTTGGTAAAATGTGTAATCGCCAAAAAGACTATGTTGAAATATTCCAATGAAAATGAACGAACTACAAGCAATATATGGTACAAAAATGGCAAATATGGTACAATGACCATAGTGTTGTTCATGCGTGATGTAATCATAAAAAACGCAAAGTGGACAATATTACCTATTACCTATGCTACTTAGGCAATGATGTTTTACAATCACATACGAATATAAATTAGGCCTATCATGCAATTTAATCTTTTCTCTATTTATACGTATGTGATTGATGATGATGTATAGAGTTGTTTAGGCGACTCTAAATTTGAGGTCGAACTCTTCATATGAACTAATTAGGAAAAGACATTTCATCGGATAGTGTCCAATAGTTCTTTACAATTGACTGCAACTTGCTGTGGTCATGTTTCAAAGCCAAAATAGTGTAACGAAAACATTATTTTAATTTAACATTGTGCTTTCATGAAAACATAAACTAAAATCGAATCTACATTTACATAAGATTTCGGACAGTACAGTATTAATTAATTCCGTGTCTTTATAGGCCTAATGTATAGTGACAATTCAGAAGCAAAGAAATGCCCAATTATTGAAGAATACAAATCAACTATTGTTGTTGGTAGCACTGTAGTTAGACTGAAAATATTTAAAAATGTATATTTTACCAACATCAATCGTTTAGGCAAGTAAAAACGAATCAGAGAAGACCTAAATCTAGGAAACAAGAGTTAGCTCGGCCCTGGATTAATGTGTTTGACAATGTATAAGCTGTAGCTTCTAGAAACTGTCAAAAAGGTAAACTATATGGATTATTCAAACTCAAAATCTTCATTATTCAATTTGAGTGCTTTAAATAGAAACCAATATTATTCATATATGTTATGATGTGAAATGACTTTGCACATAGCCAAAATCAAATAGCCTGCAACCTGCGACGTTAAGAGGTTAATTGTTTTAAACCTTGGAAAAATCAAATCAACTAGTGTGAACACAACTGCTGGATCAACCATTCAGTTTGTACAACAATTGATTGTTTGTTACGCTGGAATAGCTTAATTTAATATCGTATAGTATGGCATTTGGAAAGTACTGAGGCGCTGTTCAAGGTTTGACTGCCTCTGGTTGTTCGAGAAGAAGAAGAATACACATTAATCCAGACCGGCGAAGAGAGCGCTGCCATGCCACATCAAGCACACTGCCACCTGAAACTGCACATGTCCTCACCGCTAGGAATTTTTTAATCTTTTCGTCTAAAATCGCTTGTTTTTTCAGTCGCTCGTCTCCTCTTTCAGACGTGTCGAGATCACCTGTGTTTTGAAAAAAGTCAATCATTTGATACATTTACACTTATTAGCGAATACATTTACATTATCAATTCAAAAACTAACTTAGTCATGGATGTTGTCTTAGATAATATATTTAGTAATATATAGGTAGGCTTATACATATATGTTAGTATCATCTGCGTTGGTCAATATGTTCGCACCAAAATTAGATGTATTAATGTTCAAAACTTCGCTGCATGACTGTCACTGAATAAATTTAACCGATTAAACAAAACTTTAAAACAAATAAATACCTAAATCAGACTTTTAAGGGTAAAATATCTATGAAGAAAACACTAAGCTAAGCTATAAAAAGTGCCAGTTTACCAAACTGTTTGTAGTTGTCTTGGGGTGTTCTGCAAAGTAATTTCGACCTGAAATATAGGATACTACGATTCGATGACGTATTGCGAATTGCGTGGTGACTGCAAGAACAAACATGATTAAATATTACTTAAGGAAAACTCACTTGTCAGATCCTATACGTTAAAGAGAATATCCTTGTGTTTTCTATTATTTGAAACATACTTTGAGGACAACACTTTAGTCGTTTGGTTCCCTGTAGAGTTTTGTAAGTCACCGGGTTTTAACACTGTCAAAAACTGATAGCCACAGTTTTGTTGACAGGTAAGGGACATTATCTATTCTAGTATATCCACGGTCTCTGAGGTGAGATCTGGAGGCTTGGGCCATCACACTCGTTGGGTAACTCGTCTTTTAGAAAGATAACAATAGGGATAGTAAAGACCTGGATTCCTTGAATCTGGATCCTTTGCAAATGGGTGGCTTTGCAATTAAAATTAAATGACAGCTAAACAGTGGGTGTATATAACAAGTTCTAGGTTTTATTCGCAGGGATACAGCTTCTTTAAGTTAATAAAGTAGACGAATTGAGGTTTCTATCATTAGCGTTCAAAAAAGTTTCTCTCCTTCCTGGTACCTAATCAGTTAGATGTACAGATTTGATTTCAAAAACTAAGTAGGCGTATTCCTTGACTTCCCAAAAATAAATTTTCCAAACATTCTCTTCGAGTGAATAGAGCATATACTATTGTTGATGGCCTCAGACTTAAACTTATTTGAAGAAACATTCAATATTCTAGCTACAATTTTACTTTAAAGTCCCTTCAAATTAGTTCATATATTCAGGTAAACTAATTGATATCCACTTCACGTATAATTATTCCCTTGGAAGGTTTTCGTGAGTACCTACGTATTATTTTTTGGAAGTCCATTTTTGAAGATAGTAAGTTAAAGTTATACGACAGATCGTTTGAAGATTTTCCACTACGATTGGTAAAAGAAAAACTGTCCTCAGGTGAGAAAATACCTAAAACATGACAAGATTATTACCGTACTTGTTAGTTTTTTCTGAGTTGTGTTCTAGTCTTGCTATATTGTCGGACTGTCGGTACTTCCTTACCTCAGAGCGAGGTCCGATTCCCTTGAAAACTTATTTTTTTTCCAAATTGTGATGGAAACTGGCCGAAATAATCTCTTGGATAAATCCTACGTATCTTCGACGTCCATTACGCCTCAAAGTAGCATTCATTACAGTACAAACAGTTTAGAAAACTGGCAAAAGTAGTTTGATTGAGCTTCAAAATTATAACTTAAAGTAGCCTAATCCTAACTGTCACTCTCCTAGTCACACAAGTATCATGTACTGCGACCCTTACCTTTCTCACTGTCGTGTTCCTCGCAGCTCGTACAGTCGGGGGTGGACCTCAGTTCGTCGTCCGAGCTAGAGAACGATCTCTGGGGCGGTTGCGGCGTCTGATGGTACCCGCGCGCACTCCCACTTCCACTCCCGGATTGTTTTTTCGCGGACCCGGTCCTCTTGTGTTTCTTGCCGGTTACCAGCACGGTGATGGCTCCGCCGCGACTAGCGGGCGCGGGCGCACAGTCCATGCTGGAAGATTGCTCGGAGCTGAGCGAGTCGTTCCTCAACTCTCCGCGGCCGCCCGTCATCGTCGCGTACTGGTGTGATCTCATCAGACCCTCTAGTTCTCCGCGGTAGTATCGCGCCTCTTCCTCGCGGCTGGCGTCCTGCTGACTGTATTGTCGCCTCAGCTGCGAGCCAGACCGCTGCAGCAACGGTTGGTTCTCCTTCTCCGCGGCAGAGTGCGCTCGCTCCAGCTTGGGCCGCTTGTCTTGTTGCTGCAGATCCGCCTCGATACGTCGCATGATCGGGTCGCCAGCTGACATTCCCTTGTTGATCCACTGACCCGTCTTGCTCAACAGCTCTTGCTTCTTGCGGCAGAGGATGCACACCCAGATCACCTGGGGACAAATTCACTGGTTAGTTATTTAACAAGGTAATTCGATCAAGATAATTGCTAAAAGATAATTGCACTTCCAAAAGTTCACCAACTACAGTGAGTAGATTTTTGATTGTTTTTTTGTATTGTCTAACTACGCCAAATCTGTTGTTAAAGAAGGTAATACAAACACTTTTAGGGTAAAACTGTCCAAGCACATTAAATCTTTTGTGGATAAGTAGGGAATCAAACCCATTCTTTCTGCACCAAAGTCCGAGATGCCAACCACTAGGTTAGCAATAGACCCTTTAACTTGGTTTGTGACTGGCCCCTTCTGTCTTTGATAATTGGGCGTCGTGTAATAATCCTGGCTAAAGAAACGGCCGATCTTTGGGATTGAACCGACGACCTTCTGGTTTCAAGGCGATAAAATTCCCACATCGATCCTTCCCTTATATTAGATGTGTTGCCAGCTAGTGGTTAGCGTCTCGAACGTCTCCCAAAAAACAGTATTCAAGACTATTTCAATGGATTTGGATCGAATTCTATTAAAGAGTGTATGTGTCAATTTAATTCATAAAAAATTTAAGTGGTGTTGAACGAAAAAATAATCAATAAAACGCAAAAATGGAAAAAAAGATTCTCACGGAGACTTTGTATATACATTTTTTATGCACAGTAATGGTAACATAGGCCACAGCCTTCATGGTACGGCGATAGAGTAAACAGCAAGTGGCAGTGGCTGTGCTACAATCGATAAGGCAGTGGTTGGGAGTGCGGGGAGGAGGGGTTCTTGACGTAATTCTGCCCATTCACCCTGCCTCTGACATTGCTGCGAATTCCACGTTCGGTTGGCAACGAAGAAGGTGAATGCAATTTTATTTTAACGTAAGACTGAGATAGTTTCATCTATTTAAAATAAAACTCAGCCAAAACTAGTAAGATATGAAATAATATATTTGCCATTGCACTATGTAAAAAGTCTAAAGCAACATTTTCTGAAAAATATGAATTAAATATCAATTTATTTGCTAAATTTATTTCGCAAACAAATCGTCAATCGTCTACAAACACAAGTTGTGTCGTGGCCGCCATGCAGCCTACATCGGTTTGTCCCGCGTTTCTAGTTTGGCTGGCCGAGCGTGTATTGAAATGTGTGCAATGTGCATGTTCATTGATGAAGACGTATCGGATTTTGGAAAACCATAATTTTGTTGTCGTATTTGACATTAAGTCCTATGACCCGAAACTATTAATCCTCAGACTATTATCATTGACAATTAAAGCTCTTTAATTATCATAAGACAGAATACGGGCAAAGGTCCGTAACTTATCATTTGTTCAGAGTGTCAAACCCCTATGTGATTGAAGTCGCGTGTAGTATGATTAATTTCTTTGGAATTGACTATACTTTCGATCCGATGGATCTGGGTTAACTAAGTTCAATAGTAATAGTACATCATCTTACTAAAACTCTCCATCTCCAGTTTTACTAGGTCTACGTTTTCACTGACATGAGTTTACATGGCCAAAGTTAACTCGGCTTTACTTTGAGACCTAATGATATGGGCGAGCATTAAAATTGCACCAACTGACCTGAGTCAGGTAGTCGGGTATTCCTGAATTGCGCCAACTAATCCATGGAGCCACCCAATACGTTCCTTAACTAGCCAAGTAATCAAGTACTAACCAAGTAGCGGCCCTTTTGACTGTATAGTTGAGTAGGTTAGGTTAGGTTAGGTTAGGATAGGTTAGGTTTGGATGACACGTAAACAAGGACAATCCTTCTGCCGGCAACTCACCCCTATCTGGCTTGGGCTCGGCGCAACTAAGGAACATTTTTGGGACCTTTTGAGGGCTTGGCGCAATCAAGGAACTCTTTGGCGCAATTCATGCACGAACAATGATATTTTAGATCTTGAGCAACGGGATGAACACAAGAAATGGATGGATAAACAAGTTTCCTTTACACAGGATGAGAAAAATTGTACGAGTTGTAACGATAAGTATTGGTAATGATACTGTATTGAGCTCGAAGTAACCCATATTCTATCAAAAATGGTTTATTGAGCGAAGCTCTTATTCTATTACACTCCTACATTTGTTTTACAAATACTCCTCCTGAACGACTGAAGTGATCTGCACGAAATTTAGCACAATTATAGTAGCCAATCATGGGAAGGTATGCATCTGAAATGGTACAAATCGGACCACAGGGCTTTATCCCTACGTGAATTTAAACTTTTAGAAATTTAACATGGGCCTTGAGGGTTAGTTGGTCGCCATGGCATTATTTGCAAGATAACAATAAAAAGGTAAACAAGAGTAAAAACATTAGTCAACAATTAATTTTAAGAAAAACACATTACAAATTAGTACAGAAAAAAGGAAGAACAATCGGATTAATATCGTTGATCATAATTTACTACAAAATGAATAACCAATAATTAGGGTCACCGGAATTAGGCTAATGCACCATAGCCTACTCCAAATAGCCATTCCATTTATGCAAATTAAATGTACCATTGAGTTTGGATTCAGCAAGTATACATTCACTTTACGTGAATTAGACGTACCAATAATGCAGACTTTTAATACTTCAAATAGGAATTCTATTATTGTGAACCAAAGATACCATTGACGTGAACCAGACCTACCCTTTGGATAATGAAAGTAAAAAATTAATTTACGTTATCCAAATGTGTCATTGAGTTTGGATGCTGCAGTAAACAATTTGTTTACGTGAACCTGGCGTTTTATTGAACTTAAATAGGGCAAATATACATTCCATTTGTGTGAAACAAATATATACCATTGACTTTGGATACTGCAAGTAGATTTCTCACTAAACGAGAAATAATAATGAATAATACATTTTATATGAACCAGATCATTGACCCTGTTCATAATTGACTTTAGATACTGCAAGTATAGATCTTATTTACAAAAGAACAGATGTAGCATTGACTTTGGAAAAGTATTAGATTAATATGCTAGCTCCACTCAATATTGCAAACAGACAACTGCATACTCTACAAAAATTATCTTAAATAATAAATAGATTCGCATTGTATCTTAAGTTGATTCGAACTCTTAGTCCGATTGCCGTTATAAAAGTCACGATTAATTACAGAAGGTGAATACTGTTTTATTTGACCATGTTATGGGCTGAGTAGGAAAGCGCTATTCTGTACATAGGACAAGAAAAATATTTGCACGGATTTTTAAGGTCCTACAAAGAAAGTGAGTGTTGTGCTCGAATTAAACGAAACTCAATTCTACTAAGCAATGTTACTACAGAGTAGATAATTATACTAACACTACAAAGATTAACTTATTAGATTATTGCCAATTAAAATGATGACGCTACTGGGTGTATTTAGAACTCAAATGGATAAAGGATGAGTGTTGTAAAGCTGTGTAGCTTTTTGTCGTACTGACTAAGATCAGCTGTTTTTCAGTCAGGATTATTTTTTAAACGCCCCAATGATCAAGGACAGCTGGGAACAGTGTTGAATCATCAAAAATCTACTAATGTTTCACGCAATTGACTAACGATCATATAATTCCCAGACAATCGCTAAAACCACTAAAATGAACGGCATCAGCAATCTGACACATACTTTCTCCCATTAGCTTGTCAACAACGTATCATGGGTAAGCGGTGGTAGTACCTATGATATTTTATGAGGAAAAAAAAAAGTCGCCATAACTTTTGAACTATAATATGTACAGCATTTGAGAATGCAAGGGCCATGACACACTATAGATTTCAAAGATAATTGTTCTTGATTCTTGATAAAATCCTATTGCTCTGTTGTTTATGGGAGTTTTATGGGAAAATCCTAATAAAATCTGCATTTCCAAAAAAATGAAAAATCCGCCTGGAGATACCATGGGTCCACATACTAAATAAAATCAAACGTGACCACAGAGGTAACCTGTAGTTTTGTACACATCCACACACGTACAGACATCCATGTAGCAGCAAACCTAAGTACTCTAGATACTTAGTATTGTACCTAAATATGTATGCTATTTAAATAGAAAAAAATCAGACTGTTTTTGTGAAAATCCAACCAAGTAAATGAAAATTCGCTATTCTTTAGGTTTTCGGTAGCGGGACTACTTGTTAACTATTTCACCGTCACATAATCAATTATAGTAATAAAAACTAAGATAGAAACAACTTTAGACAGTGGTGCGTTCTGTGAGTAGTTAAATTATGTTCTTCTTGAATACAAAATTGGTTACAGCTTTACTGACGGAATATCTACCTCAGTATCTAGAAGTCCAATGATAAGGGAACAAACTCAGTAGGACTAAAAATCGACACATTTTTTCGAGAACAATTGACATCTATAACCTTTTAAAAGGATAACTTGGTTTGAAAAGTTTTTAAAACTAAACAGCGACACTTACAAGGTAAAATACCTCTTTGGATGACAAGGCAGTACAAGACTTCTATGATGTAAGCCTACCTCTGGTAACTATCACAATATGATCTGACTGACACTGACGACGCGCAGGCCAACATCAGAGGTCCAAAGTAATCAAATTCCTCCGCAATGGACTGTCATAACTATACCTAACCCAATCAGCTGGTGAGTGCAGCGTTTTACCTTGTTTGAAACTTTCAACCGCAGAGGGTGTATACGCACACTAATGTTGTTTTCACTCATGCGTTTCGATTTTGGAACTTGTTTGGTTTCACTTTACGCATACCTCTGTTAAACAAGCGGTTTATAAACGGATTAACCGTCTCTGTCCAGGCAAAATACGTCGGTTTATCCGCCATAGATTTTACGATCGAGCTAACCAGTCATTGACTTGACTAAACAATAGATAAAACGTAGTTTTAGTAGATTTCTCATCCTTATGGATCAGTCGAAGTTTATTGTTAGTACCGTCCGATGCACTGTAGAGGTCGTGTTTTGTTTACAATTTGTTTCTTGTTATTTCAGTGATTGAAAACCCCGCGTAGCCAAATAAAACGATCTAATCATTAACAATAACTCGTCCCTAGTTATATAACCAGACAGTAAAGCACAAACCAGGAAATTAACCCTAAAATAGTAGAAAAAAATCGTCAACACTAACACTTGCAATCACCGCGTCACCGGACATGAACTAGACACGAAAAACGAGCTTCAAAATTTACGATGGGATGAGAAATCTGTGTGTGTTGGTTAGTCTATGACGAAACATAACCCATTATCTATACAGTAGAAGTTTGCTGTTCTCCGATATTTTAAATATTAAACACATTTACGATTTACAAATTGCATCTTTTGAATAAGAAGGCCACCATTATTTCACAGTGCACTTTCTGTTATGTAAGGTTAGTTTAGTTTATTTCAGTTTAGTTGATGATAATGACATACGAGGTAAAGTTTACAAAATCAAAAGGTGAAATGTTGAGACAAATTTACAAATACGTCAATTTGTATTCGTGTGCTGTTTTTCTTGCTAATTTTCAAAAAGGCCTAGGCCACCTTATCATTACACCAAACATTACTAAACGGAAACAAACTAACCTAACGGGCTCTTTTCGAAAATAGCCTACGAAATCATTAATAAAAAGTGTTTACCTTGTTGGAGCGCAGAGTGACTTTGCCGCCACATCTTGCACAGCATCGGATGTTGCAGTAGTTGCACATGTGACCGACGCCGTCCGCGAACTTGGTCTTGAGGCAGATGTGACAAGTAGCGTCTAGCTCAACCCCCGCCTTCTTCTGTTGCTCAGAACGCTGCCGGATCGTCTCCTCCAGGACTTCTACTTCGTCCTGCTTCCGCCTGCAAAATAAAATAAACGTTAAGCTGCTGCATGTAATACGAGCACGAGTCTATAGTAGGTTGTAAGAGGTGTAACTATAGTCCAGGAGTCACTATAGCCAGAACAGTAACGTTTAAGAACCGTTTAAAGAATGATGAAGTACTTAGGTGGCTCAGTTGGAAGAAGACGCGTGGGCTCATCACGAAATTTTATCACTACAGTTCACTCTTGTACTGAACCAGCTTACCACTTGCTTTGCTGGATATGTTCTACTTAAAAGCTTGATGCCTATGTGGACTGGACAGTCAGATACAATGTTAGAATAGGCAACTATCCTCTTTTTTAAATGATAAAGGATGTTAGTACTAATTCCAACATAGCAGCAATTAGGGTAGCCTTTACCAGACGAAAATGTTCTAATAGGTAGGTGTAGTAATAGCTGATTGTAGCTCATCTCCATGAGCTTTTTCAACGTCACATCAATTCTCATCAAGACAATTTCCATACGTTTCTGTTTTTTCAGGAGCAGATTTTTAAGATATCTGTGAATTAGCCTTGTATCAATTATTCTCTGTAGCTGAAAAGTGTTTACTGTTTACCTCATTCCCTTAGCAGTGCGCAAACTAAGAAGTATGATCCTCTAGTTAGTTATGGTAAATGTTGCATTAATGGTTACTTCTCATCCTTAGCTTCAAGTGCTGAGTCATATTTCTTCTTCTGACGTCCGTAATAAAGAGACATTAAAATGAGAGTACACGAAAATATTGTTTGCCCCAAGCATGCTCGTCTGTCATGACTTCCAATCTAATCTGATCAAATGTTTAACGTGGAAGAACGAGGTGCAATAAAAGAATATCTAAGAGAGAAGACGTGGGCCTGGCAAAAACGCATTTAAAAGCAATGAATCATAATTTACATAATTTACCATAACTTTTGAACCGTAATTTTTACAGAAATGGGATTTGTACAATTTTGTTTAGAATGTAAAGGACTATAACATACAAAATTTTTATCAAAATCGTTCGGGCCATTTTTGAGAAAATCCTATTTTTCCAGTTTTTTATGGGGTTTTATGGGAAAATCTCCATTAAAAATAAAATTTTCTAAAAAATGGCAAAAACTATCAAAATTGTAAGTATCATAACATACTCTGTTAAATCAAAACCGGATTTTTGTCTAAAATCCTATTTTTCGTTATTTTATGGGGGTTTTATGGGAAAATAACATAATTTACCATAACTTTTGAACCGTAATTTTTACAGAAATGGGATTTGTACCATTTTGTTCAGAATTTAAAGGGCTACAACATACTAAATTTTTATTAAAATCGTTCGGGCCATTTTTGAGAAAATCCGATTTTTTCAGTTTTTTATGGGTTTTTATGGGAAAATCCCCATAAAAAATCAAAATTTCAAAAAAATTAAAAAAACGCCTGGAGATACCACGGATTAGAACCTACATACCAAATTTCATTGAAATCGGACCACAGGTGTAGTCCCTAGCTCTGTACACATCCAGACACACAGACACACACACAGACACACAGACACACACACACACACACACACACACACACAGACATCACTTCGAAAACCACTTTTTTGGGTCCAGGGGGACCCAAAACGAATATATCCACTCAAAACTCAAACTCGAAAATTTTGACGAAAACAATACTTTCTCCATATACTATGGTATAGGGGGAGAAAGTAACAATAACACAAAACATATGTTGAACAATTAGCCCATGTTATTAACATATTAACTACCAAGGCGTATACGCCTTGATTAACTACTACAGTCATCCCTCCTTCACATGTAAAAACTCTCGTCTTTTAAATTTTCTAGCTAAACATTTTTATGACCATCAAAATAAGGTTGTTGGTCGTAGATGGAAGAAGAGTCTTTGTCCTCCGACTCATCAGTCGCCGAACTGGGGAACCTATGTTACTTCTTGGTGTGTTAGGTTACGGTGATGAATAAGTGCAAAATAAATATCGGACTGTTCTTCTTGACTCGACAATTTGTTTTCCCTCCTTGGACATACCTCTCAGCTAGCCCATTGGATCTGGTAAAATGAGGAGATGAAGTTCTATGATTAAATTTCCACTCGGATACGAATTTAGTAAATTCTATAGAAGCAAAACATGGTCCTCCATCAGTTCTTAGTTCATCTGGCATACCATGAGTTGCAAAGTACTTTTTTAGGTGTGTAACTAAGTGCTACTTTTGAAGTGATGCTACTTTTGTTCCTTAGATTTTCACACTCAAAATATCCTGAGTAACTATCAGCAATTACTAAGAAATCATTACCTCCACATTCAAAAACATCAACTCCGATAACTGCCATGGCCTCACTGGTACTGTTTCTTGAAGGATCACATCTTGAGGTTTATCTCGTTGATTTGCTGCATACATTGCACCTTGCTACGTATTGTTCAATATCTCTTTCCATATTTATCCAATACACAATATAGTCACGTGCTGTATTAATTGAACCTTTTAACAAATTTGTGAGGATGGTGAATATTCTGCAACACTTTAAGTTTCATTTCATCAGGTATAATCAAACGGCTTCCTTTAAACCAAAAGACCATCATAGCAACTTACTTCTTTTCTGAAAGTGAAATATTTGACCAATTCCTTGTCAACAGTGCTTCTTTCTTCGGGCCATCCTTTCCACATTATTTCCTTCAATTTAGAAAGCTCTTTGCATTTTCCAACATTTGTTCTGATTCGAGAAACTGTATCAGAATACATAGGAATGATAATTCATTCGTGATCTTTTGCAAGTCTTTTTAATTGTTACTGTGAATGCGTTGAATCATCCATTGAACACTACATTCTTAATTCCTTTGAGCAAGTCTGACATAATATACTGGAACACTTCAGGGGCCGATACCAAACCAAAGGGCATGCAAAACTTAACAAAAGAATCATCCCTTTTAACGATATTAACATTTTTAGGGCTGTCAGCGGATATTTCTGCTAGTTGATTCTTAGTTTGTCCATGTGCCCTACACTTACTAATTGCATAATCTAGAGTAAGGTTCAGTAGAAAATAATTTTTCCCTTAAGCTAGAATCTGATATGCCAATTTCTATTGGCATATTTGATTCTATAGATCTTGGCATATTTTTGATTCTATCTCTAATCAAACTGTTTTTAGTTGCTAAAAATTTCAAGAATTAGCTTGGAATTTTGTACAAAAATCTTCAAAACTTTGATCGGTTTCTTGGGCGATTTTGTTGAACAAAAATCGATCAAATACTTCATTAGATTTACCGACAGAAAACTTATCAAATCTTTGAACAACTTCATCTAATTTAATATCTTCATCATCCCTGAAATCAAAACTGTTATAATATATCTATAACATATGGGCCTAAACTAGACATAAATGATGCTTCCTGTACTGCATTTGATTTCCTATCAAGGCCAGAAGCTGTGTAGTACCAGTTCCACTGTTGCTTCCATTTCATCCAAGAAGGAGCCATCTGAGTAGGCCTACTTGAAACCACAAGTCATTTTGGTGGTTTTACATTACCATCCTTATCTTCTGTATGGTTTGTATGTATATTCTCATCTTCCTTATAGCCATACCTTTTATTTCTATTCAGTTTAGGTTTCGACACCATTGATTTTTACGCTGGTAATTCATCTATCCATCGCCAATCATTAGGTGCTGCTCTAATTATGCCGACCGAAACTGTATTGATTCAATATTATAAAACGACTAATGACAAACGGCGTTTTAAATAAAAGCAATAGTAAGAGCAACAAAAAGTGATAAAATTAATAAAGAACTAGGTGAATTGTTCTGACGATTGCCTACATTTTCCACGATGCAATGTACACTGCACTCATATTGCGGTACTATTGCTTGCTTTACTATCCGTTGCAATAGTTGCATTATTAGTATTGAAAAATGTTATAAAGGTATGTAAACTATAAATATTATTTGTACACAAATTTTGTTTATAAAATATATATTTATGTTACTTATCGACCTGGCCGGTAAACTTTGTACGCTTGAAAATTTAATTGTTGTAAAACTGATATAATTTTGGATAAATTAATGCGGATGGAGAAAATAAGATGCTTTAAAGCGACTATAATAATTTTTGAGCGTAATAACAAACATATGTACAAAAGTAAACAGAAACGCCATGTTTTCGTAAAAATACTTTAAAGATCAATTTCAAAAGGAGCGGATGATTTAGCTCGATTAAATAACGGGTGGTCTTGAAAACCAATTAGGTAGTGAAGTAAGAACTTTAAAAAAATTCCTTGGTAAGGTCACCGTTCGACCCTGAAAAAGTTCAACAGCTTTTTGATGGTTCGAATCTGGGCTCAGCTGTCCTTTATCATTGGGGTTTTAAAAAATGTCCCTGGCTAAATTAACAGCTGGTCAAGTCAGCTACAAAGCTACGCAGCTCAATTCGCTCCATGCAATTACCCCTATATTGCATGGAACTCGTATTGAACTGATTTTAAAATGTGAAATTTCTCGATAAAAACTTCAATTACTACGTCACAGTGGTGGATAGTTGTACGTTGTACTAAACTCTTGCCATTATTAAAATCTTACAGACAGCCAGCTTGTTTATTTACCTAAAACATATAGAAATGCCAATTGCAATGAATTTATCAATGAAATCTATCCACTAGTGTGACGTCATGGATTCTGCAGCATGACCTGGATGAAGCAATATAAAACAATGACGTCATCACACCGGCAGTTACGTCATAACCTAACCTAACAAACCAAACTTGTTGATAATGAAAAAATCTAATGAAGGTAAAATTCTGTTCATAAAATAAAATTATAAATGCCTCAAATTCTAACAAAAGATGTACAGTTAAGAAGAAATGGCATTCTAAGCAAAATCTTTGACAAAAAGTTATGTGTCACCGATGGGATTTGATCTTGATACCTCTTGCACATCAGCCTGGTACTATATCCACTACGCCACGAAAACCGATGGCTGTACATCACACGCCAGCAAAGAAAGAAGCAGAC